AAAAAAAAATCTTATTTCCAGGCAGTTTTGCTACTTCAGTTTATATTAAAGGGGCAGAAAAATGTGCAACAAATTGCAACGCAAACGGTAACAATTCGACCACGGCCATCGCTAAAAATCTATTACTTCGTCTCAAATTTAATCGCTCGCCAGAACGGAACGAAGAACTACACATCCGCACCGCAATTCAGCGTGATGATTGCATTTATGAATGCAGGGTTGGTCCATATTTTGTTTTTCATCCGTTTTTGCTGTGCAGCGCTAGGGTTCTGAAGAGAGTATCTTCAGCACTTTGATTTTTTAGAGCTTTTGTTAGCTTTTGATTTTCTTTTTATAAGATGAAGAGTTAGCATAATTGTGTAGCAAGGAATTCTAATTCTTGAGCTTTTCGGCTAGCAGATTGTTATTGGCATTAATAAGTCATTTTTCTTAAGCAGCTATTGAAAAACAGATTATGGACGAAAGGGCTTTGCTAGCAAGAAGTTGCTTTAATGCATTAATTTGGACAGCCAAAATGTTTTCCTGTTTCTTCCCTAAACTGCAATGGGAAGGTGGGAAGTTAACTTTCTCTTATATTATTCTGGATTTTGAAAAAAAAAATTAATCTTTTGATTGGCAGAAGCTAATCTTGGCATGGATGCTGGAGCGTGGAGCAAAAAGTTTGTGTTCCATTCTGCAGCTTAATTATTTTTTAGTAAAACTTTAGATTTTTAAATTTTCATTATTATCATTTTTGTATTTAAATGGATGATTTCAGCTACTTGAAGCTCAAAAATGTGCAGGTGGAAGGGACGCGGTTATCGGTACAATCAGCTGATGCTACAAAAGCTTTTTTGCCTTATCAGATTGATCAGGTCAAGTCCAGTGCTGTAAACGAGTTATTACCCGATTTACGCATTAAAATTGAGGAAATCGCTTCTGGAAAAGCTGTAAATGTCATGTACAATATTTCGACCAATTCGGTGAAGGTAAAATTCTTAATTTGAAATCCACTATCGAAAGATTTGCACGGATGGCATAATTTGTTTCCTGCAAGAGAGTTTCGCTGTTTTAGTGGCGGAAAAACTGAATCTGATTATTTAGCTTACTATGCATTTTTTTAAAATTTTATACTTACATTCATATTTTGTCTACTGCTGTTAATTTATTACCCCACAACCGTCGTACCGAGGAGGTCCAATTCTAAAAAGAAGGAGTGCGTGCGATTTAATGGATCGAAAAATTCCTGTTCATTTCCATGACGAGGTAGTCCCTCAGCAATGAAAACAATGCCAAATTTAAAAAAAAAAAAATTCTTTGTATCATTGTCTGTTCCAAACTGAAAACTGTAGCAAGCAACTCAGTATGTTTTTTGCAGAGTGATCAAATTTACGATTTCAAAGTGGAAGCATCGATGGATGGCGAGCTAATTGCAGTTGAGGATACAAGAACATTCGCTGTCCAGCAGTTCATTTCACCTAGTAAACTGCTTGTTTCGCTTAATTCAACACCAGGCTCGTTGTTCTACTACGATGTGCAGCAATCAGCCATCCATACCGTCTTGCCACTTACATTTGTTGATGTTAGCTGCTTTACGGTTGATTCTTCAATCTAAAAGTTTTGAAAGATCCTACTATTATGCGTTTTTGCGCTATAGCGCTGCTACAGCCAGCAAAAACGCATATTGTCGAGAGGCTGTCTGTGTGTGTGTTC